AGCCTCCAGAGTAGCTAGGACTACAGGCACATGCCACCATGCCCAGCTAATTTTTGTATTTTTTAGTAGAGACAGGGTTTCACCATGTTGGCCAGGATGGTTTCAATCTCCTGACCTCGTGATCCATCCACCTCGGCCTCCCAAAGTGCTGGCATTACAGGCATAAGCCACTGCAACTGGCCTCTAATTTTTTAATTTTAAGTAGATATGGGGTTTCACCATATTGGCCAGGCTGGTATGGAACCCTTGACCTCAAATGACCCATCTGACTTGGCCTCCCAAAGTGTTGGGATTACAGGCAAGAGCCAACACATCTGGCCTAGGAAATTCATTCTTATGCTATGCCAAATAAATCGACAGACATTCAACTTTGAGAGAAATCTGCATATTTTTGAGGTTTATCTTTGTTTTTGCAAATTATGAGTTGAGATTTCCATTCTTGTGAGCAGAACCAAAATGTCCCACAGAAAAATGATTATAGATTTACTTAATCCATGTTAGAATAAGAATGGGGAAAAATATCACACAAAAGATGTATCAGAATTTGCCTCAGTCATGACTGAGGTAATTTGTGTAGGTGGAATAAAAATACATCCACACAAGTACTCACCAAGGCAGTTGCAGGTGGGCAGTTCAGAATCTTTAGTTATGGACACTAGGTTTTTTGTAGGATTAGTAAAGAAGTTCATAGCATAATCACTGAAATTTTTCTGTGCCCTGTCCACCGTGGAAAACTCTGACGTTCCAACACTGGATGAAGAGACTTCCTCTTCACTTTTGGTAGAAACCACTGTCATTCCACCTGAACACACCACATTTACATTCCTGAGAGTTAGTGCTGACTCCGGTAAGGGTGTTTCATGAGAGATACCAGGCAATGTTAGCAGTCTCTGATGCATGAGTTGCTCCTTAACAACCTGTTGAAATTGTATTTGGTCATCGCCAGCCGTCACGTCAGCACACTGGTTAGGTGGAGAGGAGGGCTGGGTCAAAGGATGGGCTTTCTGATTGGCATTCGCTGTTAACTGTACCTGAGAGATATAAGCTTTATCAGTGAATGCCTTCCCGTTGGATTCCGTTTTAAGATGAAATAAGCTGAGTGAATCCAATGGTTCAACCTTCATCTTTTCCTCTACTGCTTCAGGATACCTCTGTAATTTTATCTGAGTGAGTGGAGGAAATATTGTTTTGGGTTGTATAATGGACCTTGTCTGAGCCAGTGGTTTCCATATTTTGGCTGCGGAAGAAATTTTCCCAAATACAGTAGGAAAATCATGTGAACAAAATTGCCCAAATTTTTGAAATTTCGATGCAATCCAAATGTCACATACTGTGCCATACGCATAGGACAATGTTTCCCACTGCTGAGGATCATTTTCTTGATAACCTACAACTGTAGGCTTCTTTTTCCGCCGATCTCTTGATGGGGTGGATTTTGTCTTTTTCTGGGTTGTGTTCTTTTGCTTTGTTAATGATGCACCATGATTATTTTGTACACTTGAAGGTGGTTTCTGTTGTATTGTGCCTTTCTCTTGATTGTATTTTTGCTGTATACTGCATGCAACAAGGCTTGTGGGTGTACTTTCAACTTTTTTGTCCTCTGGTTTTATATAATTGAACTTAATTATTGAAGCCAGTTGTGTCAACTGTGTTGCAACGTCTTCCTCAATTTGGGTATGGGCTGCATCCTGACATAATAGATCATCTGAGTCCAAATTTTTGCTGCTGTCCAGTAACTGGTTACAATACCCCACTTCATTATTTCTTGGTGGCAACTGAGGCATATTATTGGAACAATTGTCAAGAGCAATTATCCCTTGAGCAACACTTTTATTGGTGTCAGTCTTGGAGGAATTTGATTTTGGTACAAAAAGAGATAATGAATTTGTGACTTTTGAATATTCATGTGACTTTGTGGATGCTAGGTTAGTAGCTGAACTGATATGTGAGCTGGAAAGTGTAGTAGTTTGCCCATTGAAAACCACCGTGCTGGGCGAACTTTGTTTTCCCAAAGATGTACAGTGATGAAGATTTGGTGACTCTCCTTGTAAGTGTGGGTCTTGAAGGTCTTTTCTTACAGAGTAGAGAATAGCTTTGCAGCTATTAAGCAAACTGGCTGTTCTCTGCTCTGATTCTTCCTCTTTCTCTGACTTTGATGGGGAGGAATTTTCCGATGGGGCTTCTGAGAGTTGAGTCAGGGCCTCTATGGCTACCACTTGCTCCAATGTTAATCTCCTATCTTTCATTAATGACAAGAGACATGGTTGAACTGGAGATCCATCTTTTGGTTCTTTACTTTGTATATTCTCAGGCGTTTTTGGTTGATCACCTTCGTTGTGTATGCTGGCATGATGATTTATGTTGGAGTGTGAAGAATGTGGAATGGAATTGCAGTTAAAGCCAGGCTGCTGGAATACTAAAACATTACTTCTTCCCTTGAGATGATCACAACTCATATCAGTAGCAACGGAGCTCATAGCGTTGTTATGGTTTGCAGTGTCTTTTAGGAATTTACATGAATTGTTTTCCAATTTCTTGCTGAATGCTTCAATATTGAATTTTTTAAATGACACATTTGGTTCAGTGGGTAAATAGTGCACATGTTTAATGCCATTTCTTATGGTTTGTACAAACAATTTTGGAGGTTTGGTTCGTTTCTTGTCAACTTCAGAGTTGTTCGATTTTTCAGGTTCTGGGACATTGGCACTAAAATCTTTGACGTGATCAGTTAAATGTGATTTCTTGTTTTGTGTCCACTTCTCCACCTCGATGCCTGTCATGTTTTCTTCATTTTTAGTTACATTTTCAACAGGATGTGGGTTCAATTCCGATTTTTGTTCTTCCCCATGACCATATTTACTGTAGTCCATGGATTCTGACTTGGGGCCATTTACTGGTTTGTTAACAAAATCTGCCTGCAAAATACAGAAATTACTCATGTCATCTACTTAAATATCTGAATAACAGCCATAAGAAGATTAAAATTTAATAGCAACTAAATGTAAAGCCCCTGTGGATACAACCCAAAATATTATTTTTGCTTTTTACACATTGAGTGAAGTCATAAAATAACAAAAGGGCATAATATGCAAAAAAGAAAAGAGAACTAGGCTGGATGTGGTGGCTCACACCGATAATCTCAGCATTTTGGGAGGCCAAGATGGGAGGATCACTTGAGCCCAGGAGTTCGAGACCAGCCTGGGCAAAATGGTGAAACTCAGTCTCTACCAAAAATACAAAAAAAAAAAAAAAAATTTCATCAGGCATGGTGATGCACACCTGTGGTCCCAGCTACTCGGGAGGCTGAGGCAGAAGAATCCCTTGAACCAGGGATGTAGAGGTTGCAGTGAGCTGAGATCGCAACACTGCTCTCCAGCCTGGGCAACAGAGTGAGACTCTGTCTCAAAAACAAAACCCAAGCTGATCTCTAACTTGTGGGCTCCAGCAATCCACTTACCTTGGCCTCCAAGTAAAAATTTAAACTACTTTGGTAGAATTGATTAGGCAATATCTATTTTATTTATTTATTTATTATTATTATTTTATTTTATTTTATTTTTGAGACAGAGTTTCACTCTGTCACCAGGTGCCAGGCTGGAGTGTAGTGGTGTGACCTTGGCTTGCTGCAACCTCTGCCTCCCGGGTTCAAGCAATTCTCCTGCCCCAGCCTCCCAAGTAGCTGGGACTACAGGCGCGCACCACCATGCCCAGCTAATTTTTTTGTATTCTTAGTAGAGACGGGGTTTCCCCATGTTGGCCAGTATGGTCTCGATCTCTTGACCTCGTGATCTGCCCACCTTGGCCTCCCAAAGTGCTGGGATTACAGGCATGAGCCACTGCGCCCGGCCCTATTTATTTATTTATTTTTATTTTTAAAATCAATTTATGTTTTTTCAGGCAGAGTCTTGCTCTATCACCCAGGCTGGAGTGCGATAGCACAATCTCAGGTCACTGCAACATTTCCAGTTCAATCAATTCTCCTGCCTCAGCCTCCTGAGTAGCTGGGACTACAGGCGTGTATCATCACGCACAGCTAATTTTTATATTTTTAATACAGACGGGGTTTCACCATGTTGACCAAAGTGGTCTCAAGCTCCTGGCCTCAGCTGATCTGCCCGCCTCAGCCTCCCAAAGAGCTGGGATTACAGGCGTGAGCCCCCATGCCCAGCCATACTTATTATTTTGATACAAACTGTTTTCAAATAGAATATACACATAGAAATGTATACAAATCATAAGTATATAACTTATTAAATTTTCACAAGATGAGCTGTTAGGTATACTTGTAGTCCATTCTCATTTTATAGTAAGTTCACTGATTAAATCTATGACAATGTAATCATTTTTTCTGCTACACATGGACATTGGGCTATTTTTAGTGTTTGGCTATTTAAAGTAACTGCTGTAACATTCTAATAGTTACATATACATTGGGTGGAGTGAAAGTGCTAAATGACAGCACCTGTGTGTATCTTACACCTGTGTATATGTTCAGCTTTAGTAGACAGGCCAAATAATTTCTAAAGGTATTATTAATATATACTCCAACGACTATGATATTTCCAATTATACCATATTCTCATTAATAATTAGGATTTTCTGACTTTCCACTTTAGTGGAGAGGAGTATAGCTCCAATTTCTCTTTTTCTTTTTTTTTTTTTGGAGACAGGGTTTCACTCTGTCACCCAGGCTGGAGTACAGTGCCATAATCACAGTTCACTGCAGCTTCAAATTCCCAGGCTTAAGTGATTCTCCCAGCTCAGCCTCCAGAGTAGCTGGGACCACAGGCACAAACCGCCATGCCTGGCTAATATTTTTGTATTTGTTGCAGAGACAGGGCTTCACCATGTTGCCCAGGTTGGTCTCAAAATTCCTGGATTCAAGTGGTCTGACTACTTTAACCTCCCAAAGTGCTGGGATTATAGGCATGAGCCACTGCACCCAAACTAATGTTTCTTGTTGAGATAAATTTACATGATATGAAATCCATCACTTGACAGTTGAAGAGTGTACAATTCCGCTAGGCCCAGTGGCTCACACCTGTAATCCCAAGCACTTTGGGAAGCCAAGGCAGGGGGGTCACCTGAGGTCAGGAGTCAAGACCAGCCTAGCTAACATGGTGAAACTCTGTCTCTACTAAAAATACAAAAATTAACTAGGTGTGGTGGTGGGTACCTGTAATCCCAACTACTCAGCGGCTGAGGAGGGAAAATCGCTTGAACCCAGGAGGCAGAGGTAGTGAGATGAGCTTGCAATCACTGCACTCCAGCCTGGGAGACAAGAGCAAAACTCCATCTCAAAAAAGAGAGAGAGAAAAAAAAGAAACGTGTATAATTCAGTGGTTTTTAGTTTATTTGCACTGTTGTATGATAGCCATTGTCTGATTCAGGAACGTTTTCAAAACCCCAACGAGAAATGCTGTATGTACCCTGTTAAAACAATCACTCCCTATTTCCTCCTCTAATCTTTATTTACCTACTTTTTTCTTTTATTTATTTATTTATTTATGTTGAGACAAAGACTAACTCTGTTGCCCAGGCTGGAGTGCAATGGCACGATCGAGGATCGCTGTAGCCCGGAACTCTCAGGCTCAAGTTATCCTTGCACCTCAGTCTCCCAAGAAGCTAGGCCTACAGGGGCCTGTAATCATGCGTGGTTAATTTATAATTTTTCTGGGTTTTTTTTTTTTTTTCTTTTTTTGTTTTGTGTAGAGACAGGGTCTCTCTATGTTGCCAAACCTGAACTCCTGGGCTCAAGCAAGTCTCCTGCCTCAGCCTCTAGAGAAGCTGGGACTGCAGATTATTTTTTATTTTGTAAAATCTTGAAACAGTTCATTAGACATACCACAGGAATTGAGACACAGGAATTGGAGTGTTTCCACTGATATCACTTATAAAAAGAATGGTAACTTCAATTACACAGTGTATACACATTTGAAAACTTCATGTTGTACATAATAAATATATACAATATTTATTTATAAATTTTACAAAAGAATGAATGAAAAAAGAAAGAGCTGGGTGCAGTGGCATGTACTTGTAGTCCTACTTACTGGAGAGGCTGAGGCCAGAGGATCCCTCAAGACCAGGAGTTCAAGGCTGCAGTGAGCTACTATCATGCCACTGGTCCCCAGCCAGGTTAAAAGAATGAGAAACTGTCTCAATAAATAAATAAATAAATGGTAACCTCCTGGAAATAGGGGACCATTAGACTAAGTTGCCTAAGGAGATGTGAATTGGCCTAGATCACAAACTGATCTCTAGATCAGTTCAAAACTATAACTGATCAGTGGTGGAATCATACCTGTGGATAGCCACTGCACTCCGGGCAACAGTGATACCCTGCGACTTTAGAAAAAGAATAAAAATGTCTAAGATTAAACAGATTGTCATGTTGCCAAAATATACATTGTTTGCTCCAAGGTTCAGCAAACTTTTCTGCAAAGGGCCAAATAGTAAACATTTTTGGCTTCATGTGCCATACAATCTGTCACAATTACTCCTGTTGTATCTAGTAAGCAGCCTCAAAAATATGCAAGCTAATAAGCGTGGTAGTATGGTAATAAGACTATTTATGGACACTAAAATGTGACCATCATATAAATTTTACATGTCACATACATACACAAGAGATGTAAAAAAGAAGAACATTTAAAAGGTGGGAAAGTCTTCCAAAGCAAGAGTAAAGGGTGAGAAGCTGTAAAATAAATTAGGGTCAGAGTGTGGTGGCCCCCACCTGTGATCCCAGCACTTTGGGAGGGCAAGGTGAGTGGATCACCCCAGGTCAGGAGTTCAAGACTAGCCTGACCAATATTGTGAAACCCTATCTCTTTTAAAAAGACAAAAATTATGGGCCAGGCATGGTGGCTCACACCTAGAATCCCAGGACTTTGGGAGGCAGAGGCGGGCTGGTCATGAGGTCAGGAGTTCGAGACAAGCCTGAACAATATGGTGAAACCTTGTCTCTACTAAAAATAGAAAAATTAGCCAGGCATGGTAGCGCGCGCGCCTGTAATCCCAGCTACTCAGGAGGCTGAGGCAGGAGAATCGCTTGAACCTAGGAGGCGGAGGTTGCAGTGAGCCAAGATCATGCCACTGCACTCTAGCCTCAGTGACAGAGTGACACTCCATTTCAAAAAAAAAAAAAAAGAAAAAGACAAAAATTAGCTGGGCGAGGTGGCACATGCCTGTAATCCCAGCTACTCGGAAGGCTAAAGCCTGAGAATTGCTTGAACCTGGCCGGGAGGAGGAGGTAGCCAAGATACCACCACTGCACTCCAGCCTGGGTGACAGAGCAAGCCTCCATCTTTTAAAAAAAAAAAAAGAGTAAGTAGTGTTTAACACTAAGAAATAGGATTGCAGAAAGGAGAGTCTTATTTTTTGACTTGATGCAGATGTGCATATCCAAAACCACTTCAATGTATGTATTTGTCTATAGGAAAAATCTTAAGGTGCTTTTAAGATTTATGTATGAAAACAGCAGGGCACAGTGGCTCACACCTGTAATCCTAGCACTTTGGAAGGTCGCGGAGAGAGGATCACTTGAGTCTAGGACGCGTGAAGTTTGAAACCAGCGTGGGTGAAATGGTGAAACCCAGTCTCTACTAAAAATTAGCCAGGCGTGGTGGTGCACGCCTGGAGACCCAGCTACTTGGGAGGCTGAAGTGGGAGGATCACTTGAACCTGGGAGGCACTACTACACTGCAACCTGACAGGGCAACAAAGACCCTGTCTCAAAAAAAAAAAAAAAAGAAATCTCTGAGACAGAATCTTGCTGTGTTGCCCAGGCTAGAGTGCGGTGGCACTTCTGTCTCCCAGGTACAAGTGATTCTCCCACCTCAGCCACCCAAGTAGCTGGGACGACAGGTTCACACCACCACATCCAGCTAATCTTTGTACTTTTAGTAGGGACTGG